CACTACTATGCGAAATACTTGGCAACGTCATGTGTATTGCGCTTTCAGTAGATCTTTCTATACATCATACTATTTTTTCTATGAACCATACATGCGTACTCACATCTACACAGACGTACTGTAGAAGTTCAAGCGTAGAAACGAAGGAACTTACTCGAATGAATACTTATAATATATAAAACATAAAACTTGCTGTCTGATTGATCTTGTACTATAGAGTTCTCAAGCTTTTAAATCTTCGAATTTATTCGTCAGTTGAAACATCTCACCTTATAAACATTCCATCATCATACATTTTGTGATGTGTGTAAACTTCAACCCTCTCCTTATATTTCATATGAAATCGCATGCACTAAAGGAGTTTCGCAAAACTTGATTTCTTACAACGCTGATTATCACGAATTACTTTAATCTGGTGAACGAATCACATATTATCTCGGCGAACAGCACATTTCGTCAGGCTACTTACCCACGCTATTTTGTAGGTTTGTAGGCATATCGATCCGCCAATGTACATGAATCAGTGTTTTTTGCAAAATTAGGTTTTTACGACCTCCGGCTTATTGAAAGTTAATGTACCATGGAATACCAACAGACATTCTTTTGATTTGGTGATCATAGTAGTATAATTGCTCTCTTGTTTCTTTCATGCATTTTAGATTCATTCATTGAAGTATTGGCTATCAAAAATGGCAACTGCACATGATTTAGACATTGATGCTGATGATTATCCGCTGATAACGGAACCGATAGCACTCTCGACTACGCCAATACCAACTGATAAATCAGTTAGTGTACAAAATCAAATCAGTGATTATTTAGATTTTGGATCATGTCCTCAAAAAGACCAAATTATTGCTAATTTATTACGTAATGGTCTTCATGTATTGTCAAAATATGAAGGTGGAATAATACCGGATATATATTCAACTGAAATGAATTATACACCAAAAGATGGAAGTCCATTATTAAAATTAATTAAATCAGATGTCAGTGATCGATTGAATGTGGCATTAAATAGTCAACCAATAATTAAAGCTTTTATTGATCAAACAGAAAGTGAAAATCCGACTCATTACAACCAGGTGCTAGTGAGTGTTCGGAAATTATGTACCATTGTTTTACCGTTTCGGCCACAATCTTCTCCACCGTAACCAAAGTAGTCATTTTCACTACTCCTCTACACCTGATAGTATTGTTAGGATCTTTTTCGTGAAACTACTCTAAAGTGTACGATTTTATATAAACCACGAAATCTAAGTGTAACTTCACACATAGTGCAAACTATGATCTAATAACACTTCTATACTGATACATACAATTACGACATAATGTACCCGAATAAATGCGACGTAGAGGTAACGTATGCGACCTAGAGAGCTTCATATAAGGTAGAAGAAATAGTTCCTACAAATCCGAAGTTACGAGTAACGGAAGAAGTTCACACATAGATCCATAGGCCTGTGATTAGCAAGTGTTACACTACACATATCGAAAGTCACTTCAGCTACAGCTCTACCCTCTAAGATTCTCAAAGACTATCATTGCCGTCTTAGAAGAAGACACCAGAGGTAAAGCGTTACGTTTGAGCTACTAAAATTGCCATTATCTGCCTGTATCAGTGTTACAACTTTCCGCGCCCGACATTATGGTCACCCGACCGTACCCCTGTTGGACATTACAGCCACTTGACTTTCCTTTGACCTACTCGATGACTTAAATTGAGAAGAAATCTAGCACTTCAGATATTTTGAATATGATGTTCATTATGGAAAGAGTAATATGATATTCATTATGGACCGAAAAGCTTTAGAAAGAAATGAAAGCCATTTATTCGAAGAAAACAATACGTCATTCTATTCAGAATTTCGGTGCTGATTTCAAATACAGGGTGCGCCAAAAACAACTTACCCCTTTTTGAAATATTATTTCTGCCCCTCTAGAGTTCACTTTCTGGCCCAGTTCTCTTTGTGATAGATAGAGATGGGAAAAGTCTACTAGATAGATATATTTTTACTTTTAAAACGTTCCACCGTAAGTGGCGACAAAAAAGAAATTCATTAAATATGAAATCTGTGCTGGAACGGTATTTCCTCACCGGAAAGCAAAAAAAGATCTCTCACCAACAGTTAGTTTTGGCTTGAAATTTGGCGTAGCTATAGAGGTACTAGTATACTCACTGCGGAAAAATTTTGATCTAAACAACATTGCTTTTTAAAGATTTTTTTTGTTTCCATAGAATTATTTAAGTTTGATGCTAATTGCTGCTCCATGCTTTTTTATTATAATATACTTTGTTTCTTATTATAAAATCGAAATTTATCAACAATTTATACATACTGTTGTAGCCGTCGACACGCTCTATCTGCGGTACATAATTGATTGTAGCTAAAACAAATTCAAGTGATGAAATAACCTAATTACTACAGGGCGATCCAAAAAAACTTACTGCCGTGTATTTATTGACTTTCTTGTGTACAAGTATAATTGCACTTTCTATTATTAGTTTATTCAAATAGAGCAAAGATTTCTGGACAAAATGAGACGTCTCCGAGCTCTCTAAGAACTTTTTTCATGAAACAGCATTGAATTTACGGAAGAGCATAATTTTCTTG